CCAAAAATGTTTAAATCAATAGAAATATATGAAAAATAATTCATAACCAAATGTAAAAATTAAAAAATAGTTGCTTTCCACGTAATAAAATAACATTTTTTTAAAGAGATATCAAAACAAAATTTATACATTAAAAAATAGATATGTAATATGAATACCAGAAAAAATTAGATATCCCTAGAATTAGATAACCAAGAGTTATAATTTTACATTTTAGAACAACTAAAGCCATTTAAAGTTAGCCAAAGCTAAACTGTAGGAAGTAATGGGCCCTTCGTGAGGTGACGGGTGATGGGTGGGCCTGGTCGGTTAGCCAGAAGTGACACTAACAAGCGTAATTTCGCATGTTTCGTACTGGCGATCGCTAAGCTGACAGGCGTTGGCAAATTTCAGCCGCTCGCCCTGCACATCGCATCCGCCAAATTGGCCACGGCTGCAGTCTCTTCTCGTCTCGCCTCGCCAGATCCCAAAAGATCCCATGATCTTCGAAAAGGGGAAACGAGGCAACGGCAACAAAGTCCGAAAACCGGACTGTGGATGGTCTGCTGGGGGACCTGGACGACTGGACTGGACCCGAAACTCGGCAACCACCACTACTAACCGCATGGCTGTTGTTTTGACATGTTTAGGTTTGCGCCTGTCAAATTAAACGAATTGATGATACGACACCCAAAGCGTTTCTCAGGCAGCAGCGGCAGCAGCAAACTGGCCAAGACAGAGAAGCAGGCAACAGGCAAACGGCCAACAGGCCAACAGGCAGGCAGGCATCAGGCAAAGATGAATTAAATGCCGGGCTAAAACCTGAGCGCGGGCCTAATTGAAAAAAACACTGAAACACCGAAGCAAGTTAGCATCATCAGTTAAGACCAAGACCGGGGCCCAAGTCGCTCCGAGTGTGTATCTGTGAGCTGCCATTATGGCCAGCAACCAGTTTTCCCCGAAACATAACGAAACTGCCCCAAAGACCGAGAAGAAAATGCTTTCGGCCTGGCCCGATCAGCCAGCCAACCAAAACGGGCCAAGACAATTAAGTTTTCTTGCCAAGATTTGCTCTCTCTCTTCTCGCTTGCCTGTAGATATATATATTTTATTTTGCATTTCTTTGGCGCGGCTTCAGAGGGATTTTCCCTTTCAAGTTTCCCACACACAGACACTTTGGGTGCGACTGGCTGTCAGTTGTACATTTAATTTCCATCTACAATTACAAGAGATGCCACGCCTCTTTCCCACACACGCAGTCGAGTCACAATATTGTGACTTTTGGTGGCGGCCCATAAAGATTACGGGCAGGACAAAAGGGCAAGCGGCAGGGGAAAGGAAACCGAGCCGAGTGTCCTTGCTCATTGATTCTAATTGCTTATGAAAGGAGCCGCCGGTCTATGAGGATCCTGGATCCTGCTGTCATTCCCCCACTCCACTCTCTCTTTAGGAAATATCAAAAGGTCAGCCGACGAACAAGTGGCAAGCAGGTCATACTTTTCCCTTGCCACATGTGTGTGTGGTCCAGAGCCATGTGTTGCATGCTGCTTAGCTGCTAGCTATCAATAAATTACGGGGCGATTGATTGCTGATAGGCCGCTGCACATAAACCACGGGCTTATGACAGTTTTGGCACAGCATTCGCTGCGCCTCGAGTTCGCTGCCTAAGTCTTTCGTTTGGGGGGCCTAGACAGCAGCAACAGCAACAACAACCACACTCGCTCGACGACGAAGAGTAATGGCTGTAAACCTTTTTGACGACACTAATTTTTTTTCTTTCTTTTTTTTATTTTTATTTTCCCTCCTACCAATGTGGCTGCTGTCTTTTGTTGTTGCTGTGTCGCGCGCGCGCATTAAAGCCCCCAAGCGCGTGTTGTTGTTGCATGTTCATGTTAATGCTGTCCAAACGATCAGTCACCAAGCCAACAACAACAGCAACAACTGCCACGGCAAGCGGCTGTCCTCTGTTTTGTAATAATTTATCAGTTTAGTCTTCACAACAAAGATAAAATAACGATAATTTTAACCACTTTAATGGTTTATTAATTTATGACCCTTCAAGTTCTTCACTTTCCACTCACCGCCGCCGACGAAGACGAAGGCCTGAGATTTTTCTCGTCCCTCGTGTTTTATTTTATTTTTATTTTTGGTCTCTGTCTCTGTGTTTCTGTGCCTGTTTTGGTTGGAAGGTAGATTTCACACCAATTTTTCTTGTTACTACCGCGCTTCCTCTCACACTCTTTTGTCCAGTCTGTTCTTTTTCTCTGTCTTTCTTTTTTTTTGGGTCCGATCGCTGCCCTCCCCCCATCGATTATGGGTTTTATAGACCCCGGCCATATGTATTTAATCCGATTTTTATTGTTTCTACACTTTTGTGTGTCCGCCCGTCTGTGTTTACCAAAAATGCATCAATGGGAATTTCGGGCTGGCCACTGGGAAGGTGCATTTTCTGAGGAATTCCAGCGGCAGCCGCAACAAGGCCACTTTATGGCCACTCATTATAGTAAAGCGCGCGGTTAGTGGTCGCCTTTGGTCTGGAATTTTTAATTTGAATTTTACAAGCAGCAGAGGCAGCGGCAGCGGCGCTTCGGGTGTGAAGGCCCCCAGAGAAAGTTCTACAAAATGCAGCCCGACTCGGTGTTTTATTCAAGATCCATCTGGGTGGGCCCATAGCCCTGCAGCCCTGCAACTCGATACCCATTAATGGTGATTAATGTGGCCTGCGCTTCGATTATTGTTTAGGTGGGTTGCAGCATGTTCGGTAATTGCCAACAGGTTGCCAAAAACGGTTGGGAAAACAAACCACGAACTGCTACCTGGCCCATCCCCTTTTTTCCTTTTCCTCTTATACATTTTTTTGTTCATTTTTGGCAGCTCACCTCCCTGGGATTCCGATTCCTAAGCCGCTTTGGCTCGAGTTCCGAACTGCTGATCCCACGGCTAATCTTGTAGGAAAAACAAGATCACAATTTTTGTGCAAGCCGAAACAAAAACACGTCGGCCGGCTTGTTATTGATATGCCTGGCAGATCGCAGATTGCTGATCTCCGATCTTCGATTTTCGATCTCTGTTCCTCGGCTTGGCTTGTTGGCGAACCGCAAAAGGCAGTCCTTTCAGACCCTTTCGGGCCCATTGTTTCACATTGGGCTGCAACCGGCCAGCCCCGTAGGATCTGTGAAAACCTTTTTGACTTGTTGGGCTTGGCAATTGGATGCTTAACGCCAAATTAGATTAGCAAACTAATGCCATTACCTGGGAGGTTTGTACTGAGGGCGAGCTATCTGCAATCTGCAAATCAGAAACACTCGTTTTGATTCGGGATTGTGTAGTTTTTAAAACGGTGCTCCCTTAAACATGATTGGAAGATTTGTAAATCAAGAAAATAGCAAGGGCTTAACTTTTTTCTTAGAAGTTACAGTTAAGAAAGTTTGATATTAGGACTAGAATAATTTTAGATATTCATAAGAACTAGAAAATCGGAAAATATGTGATTATGTTTAGGGTTTAAACTCTTCTTTTTTACTTTAAAATATTTAAAAAATTTCCTAACCATATCCTTTTCTTTCCTACTTACAGATTCCTCGATCAGCTCCCATGTGCACGGCTGCTTCACCCCAGAAAGCACGGCGCTGCTGGAAAGTGGAGTTAGAAAGCCGCTCGGCGAGCTCTCCATCGGAGACCGAGTCCTGAGCATGACAGCCAACGGACAGGCGGTCTTCAGCGAGGTGATCCTCTTCATGGACCGCAATCTGGAGCAGATGCAGAACTTTGTGCAGCTGCACACGGACGGTGGAGCGGTGCTCACGGTCACGCCCGCCCATTTGGTGAGCGTTTGGCAGCCGGAACGGGAAGAACTCGCCTTTGTTTTCGCCGATCGCGTCGTGGAGCAGAACCAGGTGCTCGTCCGGGATGAGGAGACGGGCGAACTAAGGCCCCAGCGCGTCGTCCGAGTGGGCAGTGTGCGGAGCAAGGGCGTGGTGGCGCCACTGACACGCGAGGGCACCATTGTGGTCAACTCGGTGGCCGCCAGTTGCTATGCGGTGATCAACAGCCAGTCGCTGGCCCACTGGGGTCTCGCCCCCATGCGCCTCCTGTCCACCGTGGAGGCGTGGCTGCCCGCCAAGGAGCAGTTGCGCAGCTCGCCGAAGACGGTGAACCAAGCGGAGGTGCAGAATGGCATCCATTGGTACGCCAATGCCCTCTACAAGGTCAAGGACTACGTGCTGCCGCAAAGCTGGCGCCACGATTGAGGATCCCCATCCCGATCCCATGATCCTGTATTGTATTATATCCTGTAGTTATGTATATGCCTAATGATTGATGTATTTCAATGTTGAATATCGTTAATAATCGATCGATACTATTTATTTACCACAAACAACAAAAAACAAAACACCCCACCCGAAAGCAAATGAGAAAAGTAATCAAAACGAAAGAGAAAACATTGTTAAATGTCCCTGACTTATTGTTTTTGCAAACATATTAGCTATAAGTAGGCAATCCTCGGCGCAGATCCTAAAATGAGAAAATCAATCGGCAAACTCCCGGAGAACACAGACGACTGTTACTGTATATTATAATGGAATTGAATTGCATAATTTATTGAGGTGCGGCGGCGAGTTCAAGCCATTGGATATAAATATATATTGTACTTTGTATATAGAAGAAGCATTATAGTGACTGAATACTTTATTGTAATTGTGTATATAATACTTAATAGTTAACTGCGTATTTATACTTAATATTTAATGAAATATAATGAAATTGTTTGATAAATGAAGGTGTGTTTTTATTGGTAGTCGGTACTTTGTGGATTTTTACTAAGGCTTATATATTTTTTTAAAAGTTGACTTTAATTTTTCAAACTTTTGAATTTTTCCCGCCAATTGTCCTGCAGAAATACGGTCACTCTACTGGCAGAGCTGTCAACCTGCCATATTTTGCACACAAGGTTGCAAAAAATCGATCGATATTTGACGGCAAAAATCGATATTGCCGTTTATGTTTGACCCATCTCTAATTCCTTTTTTATTCAAATTTTGTTTTGTGTTTAATTTAATTTGTGTCTGTGTCTCCGTGTTAATTATTCCGAAAACCACCTGTAACTCCATATAGGTGACCTGCTGCCCTACGCCAAATATTCTGCGAATCAAACATGAATGTTTGCCGCCTGTGCCTGTCGAAGGACGCCACATTTCCTGTTTTCGGCACCGGCACGACTGCCATAAGGATAATGTCCTGCACATCGCTGGAAATTGAGCCCGGGGATGGCCTGCCGCAGCACATATGCACCGCCTGTCGCCTGCGGCTGGAGGAGATGCACAGCTTCCGTCGCCGCTGCCAGGCGGCCGATCGGCGTTTGAGGCGCCACAGGGCGTTGCTGCGGCAGGGGGTCAAATCGCAGCTGGAGGAGGTGGAACGGGAGGAGGGAGACGCGCTGCAGGATGTGGCAGGATGCAGCAGGTCAGTCTGTTCGGAGAGCAATGCCCAGTGGCGCCAGCAGGCTGCCCAGCTCATCCGCACCGAAATGGATGCCTACAAGAAGGAGCTGCTCAGCACCTGCAAACAGGCTGTGCGCGCTGACATCGAACTGGAGCTCCGGGCGGAACTGGAGAAGGCCGTCCTGGCCGAGGCCAAGCAGCAGTTGCGCCTGAGCGTCCTGGACGACGTCTTCTACGAGCTGGAGAGCTACTTTGTGCGCAAGCGCAACGAGACTGCCTGCGAGCAGGTCAACTGCACCGAGAGCCTGGCCTCCGACTCCGAGATGCAGATGAACTCCAGCAGTCAGCGGGCTGCAGATAATCCCGATGGTTTCTACGACGCAGCGGCAGGCGAGGAACCTCTGGAATTCAACGATGACAGCGAGGTGGAGCTGCTAGGTAGGAATTAATCATCATAATCATATGAATTTACCAGAAAACTCATAAATATTGCTTGTAGCCTTTTCAGACGACGAACCAGAGCCCAGCAGGCAATCAGCTTCCACTGCCACTTCTGTTATTCCCGTTCCCATGGTGGAGATCAACATGAACGACCCTCAGCTTAGCCATTTGCGGGAGGAGTTCAACAGGGACGCCTTTTTGGGTAGTCACAAGTCTCCCAAGAGGGATGTAAAAAACCAGACGCCAATTCGCAAGAAGGTGCGCTTCCAGAGCCCCAAGAAGGAGCCCGAAAGACTCTGCCGGAAGCACAGACCCTGGTCAAGAAGGTACTCCCATGCGAGTAACTACCCATCCAGCAATTGTGTGCGTTGCCGGCTCAGAGGAGCGGATAAGCTCAATAGCTCAGTTTCATAGTCCCAACAACTAACTTACTATATAATTCATGTGGTCCTTGTATTCGCCTGTCTAAAGTTTATAAGAATTTTTTGTGCACGTATGTTACTTTTTATGTATCGAAACTAACTGATATGAATGAGATTCTGTACTTCGTCTCCTAGCATTCTTAGTGTCTGCAAATATGTATACTTTAATTTAAAAAAATAAAAGTTAAACTAAACGATAGCATAATTTTTGTAAAATGGAAATGGATCAAATTTTTTTTACAAAATGGAAGGACATATGGGAGTAAATTATTGAATTTAACTATATCATTGATATAAATAAATCAAATATCTGTACTTTTCATGCTTAAGATTTATAATTTTTTTTAGAATTAAACTCAAAGAAAAGCCTTGTGAGCTAAAAAATAAGTAAGTAAAAACCCAAAAAAAATTTAATTTAAAAAGACAGTAAGGCTGTGTTGGCTTGCGTTTGCTTCGAAAGTGGGTATTTTTTGCCGCCCTGCCTGCGGTCACATTATTTTGGTGTGATTTTTTTTTGACGCCACCGAGTAAATAATACGTTGATTTGCCCGAAAATATACGACCCCATGGAGGCGCCGCCGTCGTATCCCGATTTGGCGACCCTGTGCCGGCTGTGCCTCAAGGAGCACCAGGATGCGTACGCGATCTTCGAGGCGGACGATGCCCAGCTCTCGATTCCCGTGCGCCTGATGGCCTGCGTCGCTTTGGACGCCAAGGCGACGGACAGTCTGCCCAAGCGGATCTGCCGGGAGTGCCGCTACCAGCTGGAGAAGTCCTTCCTCTTCCGCCAGCGCTGCCAGTGGGCGGAGAAGAAGCTGCGCAAGCACATCCGCTTATTGGGCCTGGGCAAGCGAAGTCGCGTCTTCTCCAAGGATCCTGACGACTACGACGAGGACGAGCTGGAGTTCGAGGACTCCATCGGCTTCATCGAGGCGCAGGACAAGGAGCGCCGGCTGGAGGACGAAAAATGGCGCGAGGAGTTCAAGGAGGAGCAGGAAGCGGAGTTCAGCAAGCGGCTGGTCAAATCCCGCCTAGAACTGCGAGCCAAGCTGACCACGGAGCTGCGCAAGGGACTCGCCGAGGAGGTGCGCAACCAGGTGAGGGAAGAGCTGGCCCAAGAGGTGCGCAACCAGGTGAGGGAGGAGCTGGCCCAAGAGGTGCGCAACCAGGTGAGGGAAGAGCTGCGCCATGAGGTTAGCGAGGACGTGCGGAAGGAGCAGCAGGCCATGCTCCTGGGCGAACTGGAGGTGTATCTCAGCGAGAAGAAGGCCGGTCAGTGGGAGCCCCTGGATGGCTCTGAAGAGCCGGAACCAAAGGCGCAGGTCAAGGAGGACTCCTCCTCTGCCAGGCACAAGCTGAAATTACCCCACAAGCGGCGCCTCAGTTCGCCCAGCAAGCCACCGACCATGAAGGCGGAAAAGGAAGAGGAATACGTGCTGGGGAGCAACTCAAACATGGACATGGAGGCCATCGAACTGGAGGAGGAAGTGCCCACGGAGGATGGGGAGGATGACTTCAGGGACATTAAAATGGTCGGAAGCGGGGATGTGGTGCACACCGAGGATGGGGACATCTACATTATAAATGCGCAGGACCAGAAGCCAGAATCCCCGCCAGAATTCGACGAAGACAACGAAATCACGTCCTACAATAGTGAGTGGAAATCTTCTCTAGAAGTACTTATTTTTAATCTCTTCTTAACCTTTTGCTTAGTCAAGGAAAACGGCGAGATTCAGTTCAGTGGCGAAAAATCGGAGGGAAACGAGGACGTGGTTGTGTTTAACCTGGGTGAAGAGATGTCTGAGGAGCAACAGGTCTTTAATTTCGACGAGAGTGTCATTATTGTGGTGAGAAGTCTGTTTATATTATATAAATTATTTTGAATTTTTTGTTTTATATGAATGAATTAATTCGAATTTTCTGTTAAATAGAATTGAATGAATTTGAATTTTGAGTTTAATTGAATGAATGAATGGCATGAATTCCGAAATAATTCAAACGACAATTTATTTTGAAGAAGAAAGGGCCATCATTTTGTGATTAGGTCTGCATGAATTTTATTTTCTAAAGAGTTAACATTAAAGTGTTAAGAAAATTTCCACTTTTTGTTTTAAAAAAAAAGCACACAAAAAAAAGGCAAATTAAAAAAATTCATAAAAATTATTCATTCAATTAATTCGAACTTTATATATATTTAAACTCTATGAAAACATCTACTTGTTTTCAGGAAAAGGAGCAGCTGAACAGTGACGAACAGACGCCAGTGAAGCGAAAGAGATCGAGTGAGTTGGTGTTCAAGCAGGCCTCCAGTTGCCCGCAACCGAAAACCGGGCGGGTAACGGACACGGTCAAGTCCTTCCAGTGCCATTTGTGCCCGGTGGCCTTTGCCACGCAGAAGCTGCTGACGCGCCACCACAATACGCACATCAAGGGATTGAAGAGCGGCAAGGGCGGTACACTGAAGTGTCCCAGCTGCTCGCTGCAGCTGTCCTGCGCCAGCTCCCTCAAGCGCCACATGATCATCCACACGGGCCTGAAACCCTACAAATGCACCGAGTGTGAGCTGTCCTTCTCCCAGCGCGAAGTGCTCAAGCGTCACATGGACACGCACACGGGAGCCAAGCGCCATCAGTGCCCCCAATGCTCGAGTTGTTTTGCCCAAAAGTCCAACCTGCAACAGCACATAGGTCGCGTGCACATGGGCAACTCTCGGACGCACAAGTGTCACCTGTGCCAGCGCAGTTTCAACCACGTTTCGGGGCTCAGTCGCCACCTGGTCACCCACGCTGGCGTCATGTTCTCCTGCAAGCAGTGCGGCCGGCAGTTCAACGATCGCAGCGCCGTTCAACGCCATGTGACGACCATGCACAAGCCGAAGGACAAATCGGCGGACTACGTATCTGAAAACGAGATCAGCGAATCCGACTTTCAACCAGTGTCGTTATAGGAAAGTCCTTAGAGCTGTTTTACAAAGACCAAGTTTTACTCTGAATATTTTACAACTTTATTCGCGAACTTCAAGTGCCCACAACAGTTGGCACCAAATATATTATCAACATGATAGTTTTAAAACATTTAGAAAACATGCAGCGTTAAACAGTTTAGCAAACAAATACAAATCGGAACATTTGGAACAGCTCTGTAACAGGATACCATATAGCTAGACGTACATTTTACAATATCATTTTAATAAATACCACATAAGACGATGTACAATTTGATAGGCAAATACACGTATTTTTAATAAACTCAACTCAACTCCTCTACGAATACTTTAAACTTAGTCTAAACGCCAGAAAACGGGACTCAAAATGCGCTCGAGTGCCAAATGCAATGAATAATATTTTCTTGTATAATCGGAAGCGCTTTGCAAATGAGATTACCTAGGGAATCGAAATCGAAACCGTTTAACGTTCTTGGTTAATGCGTTATAAAGCCAATAACAATCCAATATCACCCTAGCCTACTAAATCGGAACAATATCTTTCCTAACTCCTGCGACCGCCCATCGCCCACTGCTAGTCGGAGTTGGTCAAGGAGCTGCGCTGCGATTCCAGGGTATTTGAGTCGTGGCGCTGGCGCAGCACACGCGTCTGGCTGGCGGGCAACTTGGAGAAGTCCTTCATCACATTCTTGTACGTCTCATCCTCCCCGTTGTACTCGTCGTTGGGTCCAATCTCGTCATTCAGTTGTGTCAATCGGAGGCTGGAAAAAGCGATTGTTAAGTATTTCTATTTCTGAACTTGGTTATTCCAAACTCACAGCGTTACAATGTCGGCGTTTTCCTGGTCCACCGCAATGTCCAGCGCTTTCTTGCCATCACTGGAGGCCAGGTCGTAAGCAGCCTTATGCTTCAGCAGCAGATAAACCTGGGCAATGTGTCCCTTGGCCGTGGATATGTGCAGGGCACTGTAACCCATTTCGTCCACCGCATCGATGGCTATTCCGTTCAGCAGCAAGAACTCGCAGGCCATTACGGAGCCCGAGATGACGGCCTGGTGCAGGAATGATCGCTGCCGGTCCTGGGGATTCTTCCAGACCTTGTCGGCACCCAAAGCGAATGCCATGCACATCACGGGCAGATTGTGTACCACCGAGGCCATGTAAAGCAACTGATTGGCGTCCAGCTGCGTGAAGGGCAGCTCCTCGGGCGTCTCGACATCCGACTCGCCATCGGTGCTCTCTTGATCGCTGCCCAGAATGCCGGGAGTCTCCAGTCTATCCAGGGCCAGGTCGTCGCCAATCACCAGCAAATCGTCGCGTGAAATGCTTAGTGACATCGAGGGAATGTTGATGGATTCATCATCATCGTCATCGTCAAGCTCGTCGCCCGTTTTGGCCGTGTTATAGATGCTCGGATCGTCGCTCAGGGTTTTGGGCAGTGGTCGCTGCTTTTGCCTTCGTCGCAGCTTCTTAACCGCCCACTTGCGAGTGCCGCCCAGCGAGAGAGTGGCCCGCTTGGCGATTCCACTGCCGCCACTTTCCACGTCCTCGACGACGCCGCCACTGTCTATGCTCAGCACTTCGGCCGTCTCGCTGGCCAGCAGCTCCTGCGGCTTGGGCATTCCGCACACGAACCGCCGCTCCACATACTTGGCCTTGATCCAAGCCTCGCGCACTCCGATCTCGCACTGCTCCGTGGGCTTCTTGAGCCCGCAGTCATCACCGATGCGCGCCTCATATATACGGTTAACCACCTCGTTGCCCAGCTCCATCATCACCTTCACGTTCTCCGTCTCCCAGGCATCCAGCGTCAGGGAACGCACCTTGCTGTAATGGACGCCCAGACTCCGGTGGACGCCGGAGCACTCGATGCACAACGTGATGCCCAGGTTGATCGAAGCCCATCGTGGTTCGGGGCTCCTGCAGTCGCAGCAATAAGCGTTGCCCGGTATCTTCAGGAACTCCTCCCAGTGGCTGGAAAATTGCCTACATTATTATGAACTCAAATGGAATTTGTGGATGATTCAAGCCTACATTCTACGCTTTGCGGGCAGCGCGTTGTTGGGTGTGTTCGTCGATTGGGGACGCGAGTGGTGCGTGGAATCGTGCTGGATGGCTGCTCCAATGCTGTGCTGCAGCGCGGAAATCCAAAGGGATAGCATATCCGCTGAGTCTGCCTGCAGGATGTGGGATCTGTAAAAGGAGATACAAAGTAAATAACTCATATGTATAGAAAATCAGACATATAACTCACTTGGTAGGCGAGATGACCTCGAAGCAGAAGCGGCGGTCGCCTTCGTTCACCGGGCGCACGCTGCAGATGCGCAGATCCTCCTCCATGACCGAGAACGAGTCCTCGTTGCTGCGTTTTCTGCAATGCGAATCCAAATCACTTCAGCGTACGGCCACAACACATCACAATCACATCACCACACAACAAAAACATCACAAAAATCAAAAGTTGCAAACGAAAAGAAGACGTATTGATTAACTAAGCAAGCAGATGGGATGGCAGATGATTCTGGATAGACAATATGAGCAGAAGCAACTAGGCAGAGTGCACCCACCTGTAGACAAGCTGGTTGTCGCTGAGGTAGAACCATCGACGGCACCAGGTCTTGAAGCCCTTTGACTTCTTCTTGAACAGATAGCCCTCGATCTTGTTGGAGGTGCTGTTGGTGTTTGAGTCGCAGTAGCGATTCACGCTCATGTGCCGGTTCTGCATGGCCTTCTCCAGCTGCTGGTAGTCGCCGCGCAGGGCATTCAGGTCCTCGCTGATGTTCTTGAAGAACTCGTCAAAGTCGTTGCACAGGTCGAAGCCCTGGTGGTAGTAGGTCACGCACGCCTGATAGTAATCCAACAGCTGTCGGTGAAAAGAGCAGGGAAACCAGCATGAAAACGTGTCAAATAGCTGCTACTATTATCCAGTATTCTCCGAACACAGAGGCAATCCAACGCCGAGCACTCCCTTTAGACAACTGAGCGAATTGGCCAGCGCACAACTGACTCAACACGCTGATCAATGGGTTTAGATATGAGGCATACATATAGCAACTCGCATTGATATCGCAACAGTGACGTCATGGCAATAACAAATCAGAGAAAAAACCTTATTTACTTAGTGGTCGCGGGCCAGGCACTTCAATCAGGGCGATAAGCGACATTTCCTTACCGTGGACAATATGGAGGGGACCTTGCGAGCCTGCGCCAGCGTTATATAGTTGACATAATCCAAAGCGGTGTGTTGGAAGCACGACTTGGAGGCGGAAAGGATATTGGCAGCTTCCTGCATCTCCTGCGGTCGGTTTTTGCTGGCCTGTAATAAGGGGGTTAAGGTTAAATAAGTAACTTATTGACTTTAAGCCTAGCCCACCTGTGCGTTCTTAATCAGCGCATTGTCATAGCCCTCAGAGACCTTGAGAAAGTGCCCCTTGTAGTCCTTAACCTGGTTGATGTCGTCCTTAACAAAGACACTAAGGTTTTTCAGCACCGTGCGACTAGCCTGATCCAACAGGATGGTGTGGAACTTGTTCATCTCCTGGAAAACAAACAGGACATGAGTTGTTTATATAGCAAAGGAGAACGAGACCAACCTGGAAGCAGTGAATCAGCTTGCCGAGCGCATTGTGGGCGTTCTTGTTGTCGAGAAAGTGCTGCTGCAGATCCCACAAGGACATGGCAAAGGCGCTAGATAAAAAACAATACCCAGAATTGATGGAAATGAATATGCATGAGGAGGGAAAATTGCGCAGCCAGTTGTTTACCTCTGGTTCTTGACATACTCCTTGCCCGAGTCCACGGCCACGTTGCACAGCTTGATGATTTTCTCCAGACGCTGCTCCAAGTGCTCGATGTCGCTCTCCTCCTTGGACACAAATTGTCTGGCGAACAAGAAAAAAAACAAATAAAAAACGTTTGCACAATTTGTTTGTCGCGATGTAAACAAAAGATGGGCAAGCTGCTGATGATGATTAAAATTGCCTCCGACTGGCTGAGCAGCGTAAATATAATCTTTCAGCTTAATCAAAGAAGTTATCGCGGGGCCAGCGGATGATTCCTACTCTCACTCCGCCTCTGTTTATGTTGACACTTTTAATTTATGCGGACTTATTAAAGCGCTGTTTGCGCTTCCAATTGAAGACGAGTCGCCACAAAATAGAGAAGACCCCGTCCGGGGACAAGTTTTTGTATCACTCAGTTGCGTCGTCTTGTTCTGGTTTTTTTCTCGCCTTTTCCCCTGTGTCGTCCATCGATTTGTCGGGAACTGCTTTTGTTTTAACTTTGTATATATTCTGGGAAGTACTCTTTCAGGGGGTATTGTAAGTTTTAAGTGGAACTCTGCACGATAGGGATTTCTGAATTTTACTATGGTTATCATGGAGCAAAATTATCACTCTGTGCGTTGTTTTGGGACGTTATTAGCTTGATTTTAAAGCTAAATATGTAACTAAGTGAGAACTATAATAACATATTCTTTTGAATGCGATACATAAACATTAACAAACAAATTCCTAAAGATATATCTTTTTATATTTGGCATACAGACGATCAAGCGGAATGCGCAGTACGTTATTGTTTTCGATAATAATTATAATTAAAACTTGGCATTTTATCCACTATCGCAGTTTTAAAACAAACGGAAACTACTCAAATCTGGGAAAGTATAACACAGTGCAACATGAAAAATGTAACCGCAATTCTGATTTCATGGGCGGAAAGAACTCATCGAAATAAGCTAAAACCCATTTGGGTTTCTCTGGCTTAGCTCGCGTTAACCTTTTATAGCGAGTTAAAGTTTTACATACAAAATTTATTTGTAACGGCCATATCTTGTGAACCGATTAAAATTTCACTATCCAGTCTTCAGTGACTATGTAGCTATGAACCCAAGGAACTAAATTGACAAATGACTCTTGCGCACTTAGCACCTTGCGCTAGGTGCGCGTTAAAAAACAAATTTGCCTAATTTTTCGATTTTTAACGCGCTAGGTGTACGTCTTCGCAAGAGTCATTTGTCAATTTAGTTCCTTGGGTTCATAGCTACATAATCACTGAAGACTTGATAGTGAAATTTTAATCGGTTCACAAGATATGGCCGTTACAAATAAATTTTGTATGTAAAACTTTAACTCGCTATAATAGGTAAACGCGAGCTAAGCCAGAGAAACCCAAATGGGTTTTAGCTTATTTCGATGAGTTCTTTCCGCCCATGAAATCAAAATTGCGGTTACATTTTATAACCCTAAAAATGTTGCACAGTGTAATATATATCAGAGCGGTTTTATAACCAGGATATTTTAATAAAACTAA